GGTGCTCAACGTGGCCGGGCTGCGCTTCGAGACGCGGGCGCGCACGCTGGGCCGCTTCCCGGACACGCTGCTCGGGGACCCGGCGCGCCGCGGCCGCTTCTACGACGGCGCGCGCCGCGAGTACTTCTTCGACCGCCACCGGCCCAGCTTCGACGCCGTGCTCTACTACTACCAGTCCGGCGGGCGGCTGCGGCGGCCGGCGCACGTGCCGCTCGACGTCTTCCTGGAGGAGGTGGCCTTCTACGGGCTGGGCACCGCGGCCATGGCGCGCCTGCGCGAGGACGAGGGCTGCCCCTTGCCGGCCGAGCGCCCCCTGCCCCGCCGCGCCTTTGCGCGCCAGCTCTGGCTGCTCTTCGAGTTCCCCGAGAGCTCGCAGGCCGCGCGCGTGCTCGCCGTCGTCTCCGTGCTCGTCATCCTCGTCTCCATCGTAGTCTTCTGCCTGGAGACGCTGCCCGACTTCCGCGACGACCGCGACGACCAGGGGCTCGCCGCAGTGGCCGCCGCGGGCTCGGTGAGGGGCAGGGCCTGGGGAGAGGCGGGGCTTGGGAGGAGATGGGCGGTTCCGAGGGCGGGTCTGGCCAATCAGAAGGCGGGGCGAGGGGCTCCGAGGCGTGGCTAACCCCTAGAAACCCGGCCGGACCTGGGTCTATAATACTAAAGCTGGGCTGGGAGCTGGGTCTGAGGATCCCACCCTGAGGATCGGCCCTGTGAGACAGCGAGGTGGGAGCGATAACTACCCCGCAGAGCGCAGGACCCTTGGGGACGGGAGTGTGGAGCGAGGGACAATCTGGTCACTCCGGGGTCTGTGCAGCCGGCAGAGACCCCTTGGAAGGATGGGCTGAAGGGCCGCGAGCAGGGCCTGAAGAGTGCGAGCCGGAGCTGGGCGGGCGAAGGACTGAGGGCTGGGGAGGAGGAATCAATTGCAAAGAAAGTCAGTCTGTGGGGACCAGGAGTAGAAGGGAGATCTTGAACAACTAAGTCAGGGCTGGGGTCCACAGGGAAGGAAGGCAGGACTGGGGGCGGAGCCAGAACGGGACCCTCCCCACTTGGAAAATCAATTCTGGGGCACACGCCTGTAATGCTAGCACTGGGGAGGCCAAGGCAGGAGGATCGTTGCAGGTTTGAGACCAGCCTGGCCTACAAAGTCAAAGAGCAAGGACAACCTGAATTGCATAGCGAGACCCTATCTCAAAAAGATAAAAAATTCTGCGGAGCAGGATTTGGGGGAGAACAGGTTCCACCCTAGTCAAGTATCAGGAGTTGCTGCTGAAGAAGGGGTAAGGGCTACCTTCGCAGCATTCTCAGCTCAGGAGACCAGAAAGGCAGCTGTCCAGAGTTGGGACAGTGGCCGGGGTCCCAGGGAGTGAGGACAGCCAGCTCACTGGAGCCTTGGGGACCTTCCACTGTGGTGTTGAGCAAGGCTGAGCCCTTTCCTCCCTACAGTTCCCCGCCCGCCTGAATGGCTCCAGCCCCATACCTGGACCACCGCCACCCCGCCTGCCCTTCAACGACCCGTTCTTTGTGGTGGAGACGCTGTGCATCTGCTGGTTCTCCTTCGAGCTGCTGGTGCGCCTGCTGGCCTGCCCAAGCAAAGCCATCTTCTTCAAGAATGTGATGAACCTCATCGATTTTGTGGCCATCCTGCCCTATTTTGTGGCGCTGGGCACCGAGCTGGCTCGGCAGCGGGGCGTGGGTCAGCCGGCCATGTCCCTGGCCATCCTGCGGGTCATCCGGTTGGTGCGCGTCTTCCGCATCTTCAAGCTCTCCCGGCACTCAAAGGGCCTGCAGATTCTGGGCCAGACACTTCGGGCCTCCATGCGTGAGCTGGGCCTCCTCATCTTCTTCCTGTTCATCGGGGTCGTCCTCTTTTCCAGTGCAGTCTACTTTGCTGAGGTTGACTCTGTGGAGTCCCACTTCACCAGCATCCCGGAGTCCTTCTGGTGGGCTGTGGTCACCATGACCACAGTTGGCTACGGAGACATGGCGCCTGTCACTGTGGGTGGCAAGATAGTGGGCTCTCTGTGTGCCATTGCCGGCGTACTGACCATTTCCCTTCCTGTGCCCGTCATTGTCTCCAACTTCAGCTACTTTTACCACCGGGAGACAGAGGGCGAGGAGGCCGGGATGTATAGCCACGTGGACACACAGCCCTGCATCAACCTGGAGGGCAAGGCCAACGGGGGGCTGGTGGATGGAGAGGTGCCTGAGCTCCCACCTCCGCTCTGGGCACCCCCTGGGAAACACCTGGTCACCGAGGTGTGAGGAGCAGTTGAGGTCTGCAGGACCTCATACCTCCCTGGAGGGGGGCGGGGGGAGGGCAGGCGGAGGATGGGATAGGGTTAGGGAGAACTAGGCTAAGTGGTAACCAGTGCTGAGTCTTGTGGGTTTGTAGCTGCCGTGGGTACCTCCTGAAGGAGCAATGAATGCCAATGGTTTGTGTTGAGTCGAGGGGTGGCCTCATTGGTTTGTATTGCGTTGTGTTGTGCCAAGCTTGTGGACCTTTTGGGGTGGTGTTGAGACAGGCTTGGTCACATCCAGTTGGGAGTTTCCTAGGTCTGTGTTGGGGTGGTGAGTCTGGGTTAGTCTTGTCCAGCTGTGTTACGCAGGGTCTTTGAGTCCCCTAGGGCCGTGTTGGGACAAGTCTGGTGGTCACTTAAGGGCATTATTGAGACTTTGTGGTCACGCATGGTGTCATGGAGACGTCTGGACAACTGTGTGGCTTTGTGTTTTTCTGAGGTCGTGTTATTTTAGGTTCTGTGAACTTGTGAGTCAGGTAGGAATACAGAGTCAAGTGATAGAATTCGAGCTTTCTAGGTCTCGATAGTTGAAGCTGGCTTGGGCTGTGTGACTGGATTCATCTTTGAGGAGCTATTAGGTTGAGTTGTGTAGGCCTCAGTAGCTAGGAGTTTTTCAGGCCACAGTGAGTCGAATTGTGTTGATGTAGAAGCCTGTGAGTCTTTTAAAGTCAGTTCAGTCAGGTCTTAGGACTGTTGGGTCACGGGGCCGTGCTGAGTCCCGCCATTGCTGATCCCATAGGAATGTTGGGTTGAGGTCCATAGAGCCGGGGGAAGCGGTTTTGCACTGCTGGAAGCACCAGAACCCAAGGACCGAAGCCCTGGGCAAGAGTCACGAGTGGTGTGGATGTGGGCGCTGCTATTGCAGGGGTGGGCTGGATTCCAAGCCCTGGAGTGAGGGATTCATCCACAGGGGCTCTGAGGGACTAGGAGGAGGGTGCTGCTTCTGCTCACCCCACATGTGCTTCATTCTGCCACTCAAAGCCCCACTCGCCTGGCCTCCCTGGTGGTTTCGCGAGGAGATGGAAACACGGAGGCCAGAGAAGACAGGAGAAAAATGTGCATCCCACCTCCATGGGGATGGGAGACAGAACCACAGGGAGGAGAGACACAGACTCAGAAAAAAAGAGAGGGACAGAGACCTAGACAGAGACCAGAAGAGATCCTGAGAAAGGGACGGGGACCTGGAAAGAGGGAGGAAGAGAACCAGAGAGGAGTCAGAGACTCAGCATGGGAAGCTGAGATTCAGAGAGAGGGAGACAGACCAAGGGCGGGCGATGGAGGCCCAGAGGATGTCAGGCACCCAGAGAGAGGCACCTGACACTGGGCTGCATAGTTGGAGCTGGAGCCCAGAGCCCAGAGGAAGAGAACTAAAAGTGAAGAAGGCAGAAAGACTCCGCGTCCCCAGCCGGTCTCCTCTCTGAATCACAAGGGATCCTCAGCAGGGCCCTGGCTTCCCAAGGTCACACAGCAGTCCCAGCCGGGACTCGTGGCAGGCTGCCTGGCTCCAGTCCCCACCGGCTGCGGGTGCACACAGCCTAGCAAGGCCCACAGCCTCCTGCCTTATAGACAGGAAACTGACCCTGGGAGGGGACAGGAGTCGGTGTCACCCAAGGTCACAAAGCCAAACATTTCAGAGTCTTTCAGGACTTAAATGGCATTGAGAGGAGGAGGAAGAGGAGAAGGAGGAGGTGGAGGTTACAGTCACTAACACATATAGGGCTTCCTATGTGCCAAGCGTCATTCAAGGCACTTATATTAACTTATTAAAACCTGTCCAGTGGTTTACAGTGTGGTAGTGTTGTTATTATTATTATATTATTATTATTATTATTTTAAGCTCCCCTCCTGCTGTGATCATAGAAACCCTTCCTCAGAGGCCCCGTGTGAAAGATGGGGGACTGTGAAGACCAGACGCACCTCTCACTGGGGCCCAGTGAGCAAAATACAGGGGAGGAATTCAGTTTGGAAACCCCAAGCTTCATCCAGCCCCCTTTTTTTTTTTTTTTTTTTTTTTTTTTTTCTCCGGTACCGGGAACTGAACTC